CGGGTTCGTTTGTCTTGAATACGGGGTGATACCACGCAAACAGTGACTTGTCCAGAGGCGGCGGTCGGTGTTTCTCGTCGGTATGTCGGAGACGGGGCGCGTAAACAATGGTATTAAAAGGGCGTAGTAGGAGGAAAAGTACGAAGATGGCGGCGGTGATGCCAAAGGATGTACCGATAGCAATGAGGACTGAATCTTGGGATACCTAGCCTGGTCAGAGGTGTATGCAATTGATCGGGGTTTGGACGTACCGAAGCGCCCAATGGATTATCCGACATTAATTGCTCAAACTTTTGCTCTATGCTCAGGTCCCGCCGGAGCAGCGTATTCGGTAGTGGGGATGCCATGGTGAGTGTGGCGGGCAAAGTGGAGGTCGTGCAACGTGTGCAGCGAATGTGGTTGTAGTGTGTAATGAGCGTTGTGAATGCCGTGGGTGTAGCACGTGTTTTGTGTGCACGTTAACGGCCGTTCGTATCGAGGGTCGATCTTGGGTCAGACAGCTCAGCGCATGTCTTCCTGCGGCGATGCTGCTCTCACAGTATCTCTCTATCGGAAAGTTGGCTGTTGGTCGTATTCAATTCCCCTCTTACGGTCTCAGCAAACAAAGAAAACGTGGGTGGGTATATGCGCTAAAGAGAACGAGTGTACAAAGCAGACAAGTAACAGCAACAGTAGTGAGAGATACGAGTTGTCGTCGCGTCCCTCGACGTGGAAGAGGATAGCGCAGTGGAAAGGAAAAAGGGCCGCTGATCCCTGTCAGGTCGACTGGACCGCAAGGGAAATCGGCAAGGGTCTCGGCTGGCGAGTCGTCATGGCGTCTCAGGTACGAGCTCTGATTGGCTGTCTCGACGCGCCGTTTTAACGCCGGGTACGCGGCTCTCTCGCGCGCTGGCGCTGGGCAGCTCTGGCGGCTTGATCTTATTTTTGGCTTCTAGGCCTGGCCATGGATATGCGAGCTGTTGGGCAGGGTAAAGAGGACATGATCGCCCCTTAGCACTCGGAGTAGTTTGTGGAGGAGCTTCAGCTTGCGAGATTGTGCGCTAACCTTTCGCACTGCCACTCCGCTCTGCCGGCATCCATCAGCTTTGTTCAGCATTATCAAGCATGCATAAATCGATGAATGATGTGGCGGTGCGCAGGCGCCTCCTCGGATGAGGCTGCCCACTTGCTCGTTTCAGATATGCATGTTTCGGCGCATATGAGATGGGCCACGTTCATGCTTGAGATTCGTGGGCAACGTCGACTTTTATTGGGCAGAGTTGGAACGGAAGCACCGATACCCTTGTCAGTGTTGATACTGGTCGACGAGGAGAGTGGGGTGGATGAGGGGATAAAACCACAACCATTTAACTGCTTCTTTGAATCCATGCGCTCTCAGCGTGCTGATCCAACTGCAATGACTTTGAGACAAACTCGAGCTAGAGTACCTGGCTGATGATATAGGTTTCTCGACCGCGAAAACCTTTAGTAGAAGCTTGGAAGAATTATCGCGTTATGAAAAGCTGTTCTTCATGGGTAATGCCCATCACCATGATGTACTGTAAAAGTATACACTGTGGCTTCTCCTTTATGATTGTAGCATACACTACCACGCATATCTTTAGGGTCGGTTTTACGTAGGAAATTCTAGCGAATACAACTCACTAGACTAAGCTTCTTCGTAGACCGAGCATAAACACACAAGCTGACACACCGTTGAAGAGTATTCATGTAACGGATCCGATGCAGATATACTACCAAAGTTCCCAATCGCCACAGACATCAAGCCATGGTCTGCGAACCATCCCTCCATTTTGATTCAAAATCCAACCACTTATTCTTCGTCGCCTCGTCCACGATCTCGGCCTACCTCGTTATATTAGCAATTGACCCTAATACCTCTTTCTTTGCACGTTCCGAATCACTTATCACGTCAGTGTCTAAACCCCTCGAATCATAGCATATGCCTGAATCACCTGACCATGTCGATAAGAAAAAACATCAGAAGCCAGCGAACCAAGACCCTTACACCATCCTCGTTGCTATCTCTCAACAGACGTGCAAAAGCCATTGTACAACAAGCACGGTAACTTCACGAATGTCGATGTACTGATACTAACAAAAAAAAAGAAACGGACGAAAGTTCTAGTGATAATTGTGGTCGACATTCTTCCTAGTATAACTTTTATTTATCTTTCCATAGCAAGCTTGATGCATAAATCATTCATCCAACATCCAGAAACAGCACCCCCGATTCCAATCTCCTCTCTCACATCTACGCCCCAGACCCAGCAGCCTCCACAAGCCCCGCAACCTTCCTCGCCAAATCCTCCGCCTCAGCCTTTGTCTCCGCCTCGGCATAAACCCTAACCGCATCTTCCGTCCCACTCGCCCTGGCAAAACTCCTCCCTTGGGTAACCTTCTTCACCTCGCCATCAATCTTCGCTTGTAAACCCTCAGGACTCACCAATTTCCTCTCCGCATCCGTCGTCTTGAAAACATAACGATCTTTAACCAACACCTTCAAAAGGCGGTTGGGCAGATCCGAATACGTCGACAACCATTCCTGCGGTCCCCACCGCTTATGCGCAAGCACAACTTCTACGAGCAAGAAATCTGAAAGCGCGTCTCCCACGGCTTGATTAATCAGCTCGATGCACGCCCGAAGAACATCGAGCGCCTCCTTCTCCCCCGGGTTCCTCGGCTCATGGCTCGCAATCGTAGCCAACGTATCGTGGCTAAAGATGACCGTACCATGACCATTCGCTTCAAAATAGACGCCAATGTCCAGTTTCTCAGCCGCGTGGTGCAGATATTTCACGCCCGTGGGTGTGCAATCGACCTTGAGTTTGAGATTGTCTTCGACGTACTTTGTCGCAGCGCCGTTGGCGTAGGCCGTCTGGACAACGCCAATCTTCAGCTTGTCGGCTAGATTGCTCTGTCGTACGAGGTCGCCGAGGAAGCTGGCGACGAGCGTGGCGATGCGGTCTCCGTCCAGGAGCCGGAATACGTTCTTCTCGTCTTTGAAGTAGTAGACGACGCGGTCGGCGTCGCCGTCGAGCGAGCAGCAGCGGTCGCCGGGCCCGGCTTTGGAAGAGGGAGGGGCGCGTTGGTTGGTTTTTACAAAGTCTGCTCCGCACTGTAGGGAAAATGGGATTAGCGTTTTGGTTCAGATGTGTATCTCCTGTGGACGAGAGGGACTTACGTCGACGTTGAGGCTCTCGGGCTTAATGACATTGTCGTTGATTACAGAAATGTCGAGACCGCCTTGGTCTTTGGACGGAAGATACTTGACCAGCTTGTTCAACGCTGGCCCACCAACACCGTTGGCACAGTCCACTGTCAGACTGCCAGAAGGCTGCTTTCCCTTGAGTGCCGTCTTGAAGGCCGCACTGAACTTCTCGTAGTAGCCCTTCTCCGTTGGCTCACCGTAGGCATCCTTGGTGCCTTCGGTGTTCAAGCACCGCACCATGTAGTGTAACTGCGGCGTGGTCAAGAAGCCATAGTCCTTGGTCTCGGCACCAGCGCCGTTCAAGCCGTCTTTGAGGCACTCGAGAAGCCTCGAGCCGGACGCTCTCGTGTCTCGGGCTACTACAACGCGGGCAGGCGTATCAAGGTCGATTTTGTACTGGGCGGCGATGTCGTGGTAGTATTTGGACACGTCGGCGGGGGTGGCTTGGTTGGCCATCTTGGTGCTGATGACTTCCCATTCTTCTTGGAGCATGTTGCCCATTGGCTCGACAAGCTTCACGCCGTTGTCCTGGGGTGGGTTGTGCGAGGCGGTAATCATGACGCCAATCCATTTTCCCTTGAGCGCTCGCGACCGGAGAGCCGCAATGAGGCCGACACGGGTCAGGACAGAGTCGAGGACATCTGCTTTTGTCCTGAAGCCAGCTGTTCCATACGTATACACAAGACCCTCGGGCGCAGGGTGCTTTTGCGCGGCGTCAGCGACGGGGTCGGACATGCTGGGGGGTAGGTGGATGGATGAGGTGGTAGTTGATGGGGATGTTGACAATGGAAAAGATGCGAATGCTCCGTATTGTATAGCTAGCTGACGGTAGCTGTGAGGCTCCTCACGACCCCGCCAACCTTGCGCACTAGCAGGGATGGTGCATGCAGGGTTGTGCGTGCCTGTTGATGATGATGCGTGCCTGACTAACACGTTTTCACTTTCCCAACTGACAAGTCCTATTATTAGGTCTTGTATCCATCCATTGATGTCCGCCCTTTGCTCGACCAGAGTGTGAGGCTGCTACTGAAACCTACTTGTCTGAACGCCTGTCAAATGCCAGCATGATGATTGTCGCTTTCGCCGAATTTCTTTTTTGGCGTGCCGTGGCCATGTCGCAATTGCGGGGTTTTGTGTCACTGGTACCAAGCGGAGAGCTTGACCGCTCCTCTTACCATATCGTTGCAACGTGCGACGAGCAACACGTTTCCGATGATTTGAGGTGGAGTCTGGAGCTTTGTCCGACGCTACCCGTCAACGTAGAATAACCTAGAATTTGATCACATTCTTCTACTCAGCCATCGCTTTTCGAGTAAAGCAATGGTATCATGCACCAAGAATGCGCTCTGGTCAAATCCTGGAAGATGTCAGCTAGTACCACAGCCATCACCAGCAGAGGCACATGGAAGCGTTGCCAGATTTACTGCTACTGTTGAGCATAATACCACATCACCAATTGCAAGCAGAATTGGAAACACATCTTGACACACTCGATCCGACTCAATTACCTCCACTTGCGAAATGAGACAAGGGAAGAACCAGACTACTTGAAAAGAGCCCTAGTCAATCAGAACGTGACTAGAAAACCTGCCTGACAGGTAACAAAAGAAGTAGCGCCACCAAAAGTTCAGAGGTTCAACAGTTTCCAATACAAGAAACGGAAACGGTCAAAAGGTCAGAGGCACAAAAGGGATACAGTCTCAAGCAACTAAGACGTCCACTAGAACCCCTGCCTCTCCCATTACTCTCTCTCTTGCTCTCCACTCCGCATTCACCTTACACTCCCAGATCAGAAGCCCTGAGGCCCAAGCCCAGGAAACCTGCCACCAAACCCGCCCGCAAGGACGCTATGGCCAGGAACGGGGCTACCAATTTCGCCCAAACTCGAAGGCATCGCAGTCGCAGGCGCACTCTCTCTGAACCTAATCTTCTCCACCCTCCCATTGTCTGCCTCCTTGTAATCCAGAGTGCCACCACCATTGGTATGCGTGACGTCAAGGATGTCGCAAGCTTCCTTCATCTCATCCATAGACACAGCAGCAGGGTCCATGGCCCCTCTTGACGCTTCGACTTGTCTGTGCACTTCGCTTGCATCGACATAGCCTTCTGCGTCAGCGGCACGCGGGCCGAAGGTTTTGCATGCAGCGCAGATTGTGCGGCGGAGCCAAACTATGCGGTGTTCATTTGCGTTGCGCTCCATTCCCCTTGCGTTGCCTCCATTCAGAGAAAATGGCGAGTTGAATATGTTGGATGTGGGTGAGTTGCCCCAATTGCCACCACCAGCAGGGCCTGGATGGAAACCTCCTAAGGGGGGTGTACCCCAGATACTACCTCCACCAACGCCTGGTGCACCAAACGACCCATATTGGCTTCCGGGAATATCCGCAAACCCAAATGAAGGCGCTCTCACGGAACCATGTTGTTGCATGCTCGGTTGTCGATTCTCGGGTAGCTCAGGTATATCGTCGTCGTCATCCAGCAGTGCTTTACTGCCGAGGTGGTTCGCAAGTTCATCTACATCGCTCCCGTTTTGTTGACCGTCTTCCTTCACACTACTTGGACGTTTGATGGGTGTAGGTCGTTGAATGGGCTGTGCTGACGGCCCCGTAATAGGGCTTTCGTTTGAAAGTCTCTCAAACGATCCGCTTCCTTGTCTTGAATGCGTCGGCATACCCATGGGAAACGCGGTGGGCATTGGGGCGGTAAAGCCAGGGGGTGCGGGAAAGCCTGGTGGTCCCTCCATTGGAAAACCGCCACGACCGATTGGGAGGGCGCCTGATGTGTGCATTCCTGGTGGTGGGAAACCACGGAAGCTCTGGGGCGCAGGCTGGGGGTAGAAGGGCATATTCGGACGGGGGCCCATCATCCCGGGCATCATCGAGGTATGACCAGGGAAGCCATTCAGACCCGGTGGCATGTTACCCATCCCGAGTCCTGGTGGTCCTTGCATACCCGGTGGTGGTCCCATGGGAGGCATCGGGGAAGCTGGCTGGCCATGCGGATTGGATAGACCTTGCTGTGGGATTGGTGCTTTGGTCAAAATGGACCTTGGTATTGACTGATTCGGCATCTGAGAATTCGGAGATGTTGACTTGCTCACCCCCAGAGTCGCGTGGGGAGTCTTGGGAGATGAACTGTGAGAGGTTTGGTGCGATGTCTGTCGTGGTCGGTTAGGTGTTGGAGCCTTTGGTACAGCTGGTGTAACAAGTGGCGAGGGCATTCCAGCAGACGAGTTCTGCTTCAGCAACTGGGGAGGCACCGCGACTGCTGGCTGTGACGACTTCTTCGCCGCACCAGCTATAGCATTGTGAGCAGCAGCAGCGGCGGCTTGATCTTCCTTGGCTGTACGGTTCTTGTCGACCTTGAGTTTTGAGTCGCGTTCCTTGCGCTCTTTGTCCTCTAGTGCCTTCTTCTCTTTTGCCTCTTTCTCTTTCGCTTCTCGCTCTTCACGTTCCTTTCGTTTCGCCTCGTCTTTGGCCTTTTTCTCGAGCGCTTTCTGTTCTCGTGCTTTCCTCTCAGCCTCCTGCTGTCGCTCGCGTTCTTCCTGCTGTCGTTTCAGACGCTCGGCTTCCTTGCGCTGCTTCTCTTCCTCTTGGGCTTTGCGCTCAGCCTCTTTCTTCTTCCGCTGCTCTTCTCGCTTCTTCCGTTGCTCCTCGAGTCGTTTCTCTTCTGCAGCCTTGGCCTCGGCCTCTTTGGCTGCTCGTTCGGCTTCCTTCTTCGCTTCCTGCTCCGCCTTCAACTGCCTCTGCTTGTCCTTCTTCTCTTTTCGCTTCTGGGCTTCTTTTGCTTTCTTGGCCTCTTTCGCGTCTTTTCGCACATCCTCTTCTGCTAGTTCTTCGAGCAACTTCTGCTGCCTCTCTGCGGCTACCTTTTCTCGATACGCTTGGAGTACTCTTTGCTCAAACATTCGCGCTGCGAAGATCTGAAACATTCGGCGGCCCTCCTCCATCCGTTGCTCCTCAGTCATGGCGCCCTGGCAGGGTTAGTTGCAGACAGACACGCCAACTCAAGATACGCACTTCCTCATCCTCTTCATCCTCCTCGTAGTCGTCGTCATCGTACTCGTCCTCATCCTCGCCCTCGTCGTCGTAATCGTCTTCGTCGGGCGGCGGGGCGTTGTGACTGTGACCGGTATACGATCGATGCTGCGCACCTGGATGAGCCTGAACTTGAGCATCTTCCTCTCTTTGCATTCTACGCTCTGCGAGCTGCTCCATCATCTCGATGAACTTCTTCCCGTCGTTCTTGAGCAAATCGTCAGCAACCGTAAGTATGCCACCTAAAAGGATGAATCAGCATGCTCCCAGCACGGGTACAGGAAAATGCATACCTTTGACCTGCAAACTGCTGCCAAACTGGAGGAAGTCTGAGGGCTCGGGCGGCGGTAGACTGGGCTCGCCGGAGCTATAGTCGCCTTCCGACGAGATCTCGCTGTCGTATTCGGAATCTTCGTCGTCTTCCTCGCCCGAGTCGTACTCTTCTTCTTCTTCTTCTTCTTCGTCGTCGTCGTCGTAGGTGCCGGGAGGTGGGTGGGGGTGGGAGTTGAGCATAGGGCGCGGGTGATGAGGAGCACTGGACGCATAACCATAATTAGCCTCGGGCATGAAACTACCGATGTCTTGCTGGTGGTGCGCGTACTGCTCGAGTTCTTCATAATAGGCATCATATAGAACCTCCAGCTCCTCCTCGATGGCTGTGCGCTTCCGGCCGCACACGGTGCAGCTGCACGAGTGCTTCTGCTGTTCCTTCATCTTGCGCAGAACCGCCTCCTTTTCGATCTTGACAAGCGATTTGCGCTCGTCCTCGCCGAGGGACAGCCAGAACTCGCGTATGCGATCCCTCTCGTCCTGCATGGTGGTGTTCCATATACGGTCCTGTCTGGAGCCGGATCGCGCGACGGAGTGGGCGGGCGACATGGAGTGTCCGGGTGCGGGGCTGAGGCGTGACGCGACGTGCTGGGTGTAGTCGAGCGGAGGAGGAGCGGAGGGCGCCTTCTTCTTCCGCCTGGACTTTTTGTTTGTGCTCCCTCGCATTGGCACGTGGCTGTAGGCTTGCTGGTAATCGCCATTTGCGCCATACGCGTGCTCATACTCCTCGTCCGAATAGTACTCCCCCTCGTCGTAGGCCGCCTCGTCCAGCTCGGGGTCCGCGTACTGCTGGCCTGGGGGAGGGGGAGGAGGAGGAGCACCGTTTCTCACAGGCGCAGGCGCAGACGGTTCCTGTGCGGCTCTCTTGGCGGCCTCCTTCTCCCGTCGCTTCTGCTTCTTGCGGTTTACGGCGGTCGGGGTGAGATCGTGGGTCGCGGTGCCGTTGGGCGGCATAGTAGCCGGGGTCGGCCCTCGGGTGCCCTGGGCCATGTATGGGGATGGAGTGGCTGCTGGAAGACGTGTTAGAGGGCGGGCTCGCTATGTCGTGGGTGACAGCTCCGATATGGCGCGGGCAGACTAGCGTGCAGCCACCCGGGGCAGCAAAAGTGAGAGGAGGAGAGGTCAGAGGTGGAGGAGGGGCCGGCCACGCACAGCAGGGTATGCGATTCGAGTATGGGGAGAGAAATCGAGTGTCGGGCGCAGTGTCTCTTCGCTGGTGTGTCTGGCTCGTGTGCTCGGGCGGCGTCTTGCTTAGGTCATGCCGAGATGTCGTAGCCTCTTGTTGATGGTCGACGGCCCATTGTGGTACCGACGTTGCGATTCGCACCTGCCGCAAGTGCCACGTCTTGGCACCCCGGCAGCCTTCTGGAACCAAGGGAAGCTGGGAGAGAGAGGCTGTGCAGGTGCTCAGATTCCCATTCGTATCTCAACACCCACTCCCACACCGCACCACCACCGACGCCAGTGCACCCCGTCCCCAGTCCAGCCGTCTGTAGCTTTAGCTCGTGCATGTCTCCGCCGTGATCGTCCCCAAGCTTCATTATTAAAACGCCCCCCGTCACCTCTCCATCACACCCATCCCCATTGTCGCAGAGGCACATCACCACACCACTCACCCACTCACCACCCTCTCACCACACTCTCCCTCGACACACTGCCCGTCGCTAGTCTGTCGCTTCATCCTGCGCCTGCCCCCGGCCGAATCATTGACGTTTTTTGACGCCCGTCGACTCGATATCCGTCGCATCCACACCCGTCGACGCATCACTCGACGCATTCGACGCCTTCACCACTCGCTCCGGGACACGCGCTCCGCCGACATCACACTCGCTCCCCTCGATCCCTCGCTCCCTCGCGCGGACAAGGCTACTTGGCTGTATCCTGCCCACCCGCGCACCACCGCATCCTCGACACGCACCATCCATCCTCGACACGCAAGCCCGCCCAACAACACGCCCAACATCTCCCAACAACCCCCCGCTAACTGCGGTATTTCACCCCCATAATGGCACAACAGCAGCAGAATGGCGAGCCCGTAATGCGCAGGTACGTTTGATCTTCACTTTTTGGACCCTGGTCACACTTCACTTTATCATGTCGATCTTTCACCATTGTTTTCCCAAGTGCACCCTTTGCTTTTTCCCCAACTCTAATTCATTCCGTCCGAGTCTCTTTCGACGACATGACTTCTGCATCCTTTGAGCATCATCCCCCTTCACACTTTGCATGTACGTTGCAGGAGAATATTCCGACTGCATCAACATGCGAGCTGAGGCACCCCGGCTTTTGCGCCATAGCTTGCATTGGCGCACCCGGTCCGACGACACGTCCGACTAAAAATAGGCCACCCTACAGGCTCCCCATGTCCACTTTTTATCGACTCGCGCTCAATTCTTTCTCCTTCTGGCTATTCAGTACATGCGAACCTTCTCTATCTACTTTCGGTCATTCGGTCACGCCGACACTGTCACACCATGACGCTCATACATTATACCACACCCGTACAACATGCTGATCCTGTGCCTTTAGGAAGCTCGTCATCATCGGCGACGGCGCCTGCGGAAAGACGAGTCTTCTGAGCGTCTTCACTCTCGGTTACTTTCCAACTGTAAGAACTCCAAACACGTGACTGGCCTTTGCAAAGTATCTTCCTTTTCTAACTTGGTCAGCGCTACGTCCCAACCGTCTTCGAAAACTACGTCACCGACTGTCGAGTAGACGGCAAATCCGTGCAGCTCGCCCTCTGGGATACCGCCGGCCAAGAAGACTACGAGCGCCTGCGCCCCCTTGCCTACTCCAAAGCGCACGTCATTCTCATCGGCTTCAGCGTTGACTCGCCCGACTCCCTCGATAATGTCAAGCACAAGTGGGCGGAAGAGGCGCGCGAACGCTGTCCCACGGTGCCCATTATCCTCGTCGCTCTCAAGAAGGATCTCAGAGACGATCCGTTGGCCCAAGAGGAGATGAGGAAGAAGAGTCTGAGGTTCACGACGACAAAACAGGGCACGGATATGAAGGAGATGATTGGCGCGAGAAAGTATCTCGAGTGCAGTAGTCTGACGGGTGATGGCGTTGATGATGTCTTTGAGGCGGCGACTAGGGCCGCGCTGTTGAGTGTGGATAAGAAGGAGAATCCGGGGTGTGGGTGTGTTGTTCTTTGAGAGGGTTTGGGACTTTGGGGGCATGGGAAAACACGAGATGGTGTTTTTCTTCTCTTGGCCTCTTTCTCTCTCTCGCACTCTGTCTCTCTTTGCTTCCGCATCCTGATCTTCTTCTGCTTCTGCTTCTTCTTCCATCACACATCACTGCATTGGGCGGAGTAAACAACATGGAGTTGGCGATATATCTTGGGGTTTAACTTCAATTCTTTTCTGTTTTTTTTTATTGTTGTTTTTTTACATTTTTTTGAGCGTAGCTGCATTGTAACCTTTCAAGTTGGAGAGAAGGAAAGCTATGCTGGCTTGTTGTGTGTAGCATCGAGGGCGACGAAATTGGGGCTCAGAATGAGGAAGCTCAAGACTGCTCTCTCTCTCTCCCTCTCTTCCTTTCTTTCTACCTTTCTCTCAGCCTGGCCGGAAGATGATTTGCGATGGAGAAAGAACAAGATTTGCGAGTCCTGCTATATCTGCGATGTTGGCTAATGATTTGACGAGAAGATCCGCCATCATCATCCATTCCTTCCCTCACCTTACAAAGTTGTACATTCCAAGGGGGTCGCTGTATGCGTCTAGAAACGCGCTGCTCTAGATTAGCGACATGTAGTAGTCTGTTTAGCGACAATCGACAGCTAAGCCATTGAACTCGTCTCCTGCTCATCAATGTACCGTTATTTGACATGTTTGCCGCGTTGACGTGTGGATAATGTGGTGATACCATGTGCCTTGTAACTACAGATTCCCGGGGTAGGAGTGGGGGGGTCTGTAACAATATATATTTACACATTTCCCCAAAGAAAACAAAAACGTCCCCCTCGAAAAGCTTCATGACCCATGAACCAGCACAACAACAAACAATGCAATGACAGCATTTCTCTACTACTACTACTGATTCCTAATCCACGCATGGTTCCACCCCTCCCTCGGCGGGAAATCCGTCTGCACCCTTCCATACTCAACTGGCACACTCCCCCACACCCCCCTCTTAAGCATCGCACTGCGATACAATCGTCCCACCTCTCTTCCTTTACTACCTAGGCGACTGGGATCGGCGCCCTGCCCGCCCGCCTCATCCTGCTTGACGAGGTTACCGTTGTTGTCCATGAGGCGGAGGTGCTCGCACGCGGACCGCATGGCCATGTATTGCCGCTCTAGCTCGCGTTCCTCGGCCCAGCGGCGCTTGCGTAGGAAGAGGAGCCAGGCGCGGTGGATGGTCCAGTGGCGGAGGGAGCGGTTGCGGGAGAAGTGGAGGGGGCGCGGGGTTAGGGG